TCGATGAATTCAATACTTCTAGAATCTTCAAATGACCCAGATTGAGAAGGTGTCCTGTCAAGAAAGCTACCAGCCCTGCCTGCTCCAGACCCAGGCCTGCCTGCCCCAGACCCAGGCCTGCCTGCCCCAGACCCAGGTCTATCGATGGCCTTCTGACCAAAGCGAACTTTGTCATCCAAATCGTGGATCAGTGTCTCCAATTCCCTTTCCTTCTGAAGTACTATATCGCGTAGACTTGCCTGGTCACCACCAGACTCTTGGCCAGTTTCGCTGTTCGTTTTATCTGGAGATTCTTTCTCAAGTTCCTTCTTTAGATGATCAATTTCTTCCTTTAATTTCCTTTCCTCTTCCGTTTCGGGTCTGCACAAACGGCTAAGAGATCAAAAACAAAGCTTCCATAGGACAAACACAGGGTCGCATATAAGCACCACCAAATTTAGAAACCAAAGAAAATTGAAAATAAATAGTTTGCCTACTGCTTAGGAGACAAATTACTTGAGTTTATTGGTCAGGCTTCATATGCCACGAACATTTTGCAATGCTAAATTACATGCTACTGGAAAAGGTAATCCAATCAACACACTTGGATAAAGGTAATTCATAGACCTGCCACTTGAACTTTTCCACATCTTTAGTACTAGAAAAACCACTCTCCAGAAACACACTTATTTTTTCACACCAACATGCCAATAAGTTGGCCTTAGAAAAGTCAAACAAATACATGAGTTGATGATGTGTCCATCATTATCAACTTTGAATATTAAATAAGTGAACTCACAAGTATCTTGAGACAATATGAAACTCATTCACCAAAGAAAAAGAAACCAGGCTGTATCAGCATAACATCCAGACAACCCCAATTATACAATTACAATGAGATAAGAAGTCAAAAGGCATACATACTCTCTGCATAGTTGTCTGGAATGGATATCTACTCCACCACACAGGGGACACACAAACACGTTATAGGACAAAAATGTAGCCTTATGTATGTGCCAAAAGAGGAGGTACTAACCCAAACATAATCTAATTGTTTCAATTGTGCACTAATCTAATTATTTCAATATACCCTTTTCATTCAAAACATAAACTCAATACACATGACCCAAAGTGGGCAAACAGTACTAACCAATTCTTTGCATGCACTTGTAGTTGTTGGGAATAATTCCAGCAGTATTCTCCCAATTATTAACTAGTAAGACAGCTTATGGCAAGTGAGACGGGACTATAAAAAAAAAACAATAACAAAACGAAAAAAGCCATACAAAGTAGCAAATGAAGTCGAACATAGAGAAAAATATGTCTCAAAGCACTACGAAGAAAAGAATATCGCTTACTATAGCAAACCAACATATTGAATGTATCCTTGACCAATGAGCAGAAAGATAGAGCTTGACATTCAAAAATCAGATTTTAAAATCCCATGGGGCATGCTTGGAAAAGTCTTTATGATATCATATAACATTTTCTCTTTTAGTGTTACAAAGCACTAATCACCGGATAGGTTCCCCATTACACTTGAAGAAATCATGGATTAGACAAATAATTTCCGCTAAATTACAGATGAGAAAATACTAAGCATGACCACTTGGGCAACTCTTAATAGGAAAATAAGGATCAAGCCACCAGACAAATGCAAAGCATTACTGCTGAATATAATTGGCAAACAAGCAGATTAAAAGGTATGCAAAACGGACCTGTCAACACTGAGATGCTCCAACTCGAGATCAATCTTCCGCCAATCTTTACCTCGCTCCTCCAGCAAAACTTCCCTTGGCTTGGCATCACCAAATGGGTTCACTTTGGGCCGCGGCTTCACCACATTCTCACTCCCATGCAGCCCAGGACCTTCAGACCGGCTTGACTGAGCACTGGAAGGCCTGCTTGAGTGCGCACTCGTTGGCCGACTCGTCTTCTTGGCGTCAATTTCCGAGTCCAACTTCTTCCAATCCAACCCCTTCTCGGCCAAAATCTCCTCTCTAGGTCGAGCTGCCCCGAACGGGCTGGGCTTATTGGTCTTCACAACCTGCACTGACTCATTCACGCCCAACTCGCCTTTTGGAGGATCCAAAACCAATCTGGGTCGCTCTCTCTCAACGCTGTCCACCTCGCGTCCGCCTCTCGCCCAGCGATCGGGCTCCGGGCCCGAATCGCGAAATCCAGACCCAAATGTGGATGATCTTGCAGGAGCAGGCTTCTTCCCAACAGCCCAGTTATCAACCTCGTCTGCCCT